AATGGTTCATCCCATTTCAAATTCAGTTTCCACAATCGTTGAAGAAAGGCTTTTCCTTTAATCATAATCGGCGCTAAATATCCAATTGGATCGAAAATTCTTGCTACTGCACTTGAGACTGTACGTTTCGTGACGATTTTGTTGAGTTCATGCTACACTTTTGTTGAAAACATAAAACAATCACTATTTGGTTGCCATTTTAAACCTAAAACTGATGTCGGATCATCGTTGAGTTCAAGCGGTTGATTATCAGTATTGTAGTCTTTGTTTATCAGCTCAAGTAATTTCGGAGAGTTCGTTTTCCATTTGCTAAGGTCGAAATTTCCCTTAGCCATCAATTGTTTTAATTCGTCGTACAATTTTATCACTGCCTGCAATGAATCAGCTCCAGACATGAAGTCATCCATATATCGTTCGCTCTTAGTCGCTCTTGAAGCCGAATGGAATTCATTTTCATAAATTCTTGCTAATTCCAGCACGGTGTAAATAGCTAAAAATGGGCTTGATTTCATACCAAACAACACCGTTTTCCACACATATTCTTGCAAAGGATCATGTTTGTTGAAACGCCAGAAGATTTTTTGATATTTCAAATCTTCATCGTTCATTTGTATTTGAAAAAACATCTGTTTCACGTCTGCCGATAACAAGAATTGATGAAATCGGAAACGCATAATCACATGCGCCAACTTCTCTTGCAAGTTAGGACCAGCTAACTGAACGCCGTTGATGCTTTTTCCGTTGGTGGTAGCACAGCTACTGTCTTTAACGATTCGAAAACGTGTCGTTATTGGATGGTGTGGAATGTAGTAGCCCGTTGTATGCCGCTCTTCAGCTGTAGCTAATCGCATATGACCTAATTCAATTGCTTCATGCATGGATATGTTGTACTTTTGACGTAATTCTTGATTTCGCTCTAATCTCCGCTCTAATTGATAAAATCGTTGAAGTGCTATTTCTCGTGATTTCCCGAAATCAACCTTATCATCAATGAATGGCAATCGCACAATAAACTGCCCGTTTTCCGCTCTAACTGTGTTTTTATTGTAATGATCAATCGCACGTTGTTCGCTTTCCGACAAAATTTGTTCCACTGATGGTATTTCTTCGTTTTCCCAAAACTTTTGAAGTAATTCATCCCAACGATGAGATTCTTCGCCGCTCATTATCGCTCGCCCAATGCATAACACAGATGCAGTAAATCGAGGTGTTGAATTAATTGCTCCGAAAATGGCATAACCAAATTTCGTAAGTTGCGCGCATAAACCAGTGCTACTCCGCAGCACTCTGTCCATAATGATTTCCGCCCAAGTATCGATGCCCAATAAAATGTCAGCAAATCCAGCTTTATTGAAGTTTGGATCGGCTTTGATAATGCTTTGAAATTCGGGAATGTCTGCACTAAATTCCATACGCTGCGCTACAGGCAATTTTTTCAGCACAACGCATGTTTTATATAAACAATTCTCATCGTTCTTTTCATACCATGGACTAATTTTAATCAATGCTGTGTGACTTGCAACTTCGATTCCAGTTACACCTTCAATTTGTATCGAAAATTTCTTTTTTGGTAGGTTTGCTACACAAACAGTTCGTTTTGTTATCAAATTTACTTCAGATCCCATATCAAATAATACTCGCGCAAAAATTAACGTTCCTGTGCTTGAATGCAGCTTAACACATCCAGTAGATAACACAGGGGATCTATGGTGCTGCTCTATTGAAAATTTTGACCGCTCTGATTACTGCTCATGTGATAACTTTGCGATGACGTTCCGAGGTTTGGATTTGGTTGTGTGTAGTGAACTACATTTCCTGGCGGTTGATACGCTACCGTTGCACTTCGTTGCTGATATGTGGCACCGTTTTGCTGCTCATCTGCTCTTGGTGGTTGCCAATTGTTGGCCATAATTGCATTTGTCGATGCTATCGGTGTGTAGCACAAAAGTGTGTTATGATTGGCTCCTTTGTTGCATCTTTTGCAAGGACCAGCTTTACAGCTCAAAGAACCAGCACGATGGTTTGTTGAAAAACAGTTTGAACATAAATTCAATGCACGCACACGTTTTACCCGCTCTTGGACACTCAATGCTTGGAAACGCGCACAACGGTGCATTGGGTGTGGCTGTTGACAGTTGTTGCATGAAACTCCTTTCGATGAATCATCTTTTGCTTGCTGCGCGAACTTTTGCTTTGGTTTTGTACTTGTGTATCGGCCTGAGTTGCTTGCTTGATTTTGCGAGTTTTGGTTCGAATTGTGCTGCCCTTCATTACTCGCACTTGTTGACGGCTCTTGATTCAATGCGCTACGTGCGCGTTGTGCCAAAAAACTCATCACCTCCTCCAGCTCTGGCATTTCTTGGTGATCTCTTTGGTCTTCCCATGCTTGCAGTGTACGTGGTGGCATACGAGATATCAAAACATGCACAATTATTTGGTCCCAGTTTTCAACTGGAGAATCCAATACACGCAATTGCCGTGTAACACTGTTTGTTGTGTCGATCATTTTTCGCAGATTTTCGTATGATTCTCGTTGCAATTTTGGCATTTCAAACAATTCATCCAACAGCGACATGATAATTCGGTATAGATTTTCATACACTGTTCAAAGTGTTTCGTATGCTGTTTCATAATATTCGCCGATCACTTGAAATCCGCGCAAAACTCTTTCCGCACTGTCGGTGAGACATTTTTTTAATAAATACATTTTTCGATGGTCGCTGAGCGAGCTGTTGTGAACAATGCTATCGTATGCTGATTTCCATTCTTTCCATTTTCCGTACGAGCCATCAAATTTTAGCGCTTTGAAATGATCCAACAAATATTCATCTCTCTCAATTCTTGGTCGCCGCACAAATCGACCGTTGGCTTGCCCGTTATTTGCGTTGTTGGCGCCATTTTCTGCGTTCTCATTCTCGTTCGCTCTATCTCCTACATTCTGCGCATTTTCGTTTTCTGGTTGACCTTGATTTGCCCTCTCTTGTTGGTCGTTTCGTTCTTCTTCTTGCTCAAAAATTTCATCCATTCGTCCATCCAATGCGACCATTGTTTGCAAATAAATTTCTTGTGTTGCCGCTAAAGCGTCATGCTGCACCTCCAAATCTTGGACCAGTACATTATCGACGATCTGATTATGTTCGTTCGTGTAACTTTCCAACGCTTGTTTCAACATTCGCACTTTTCTCGGAGCAATCGAATATTTGCTTGTTGAAATTCTTGGCCATCGATCCATTGCCTCATTCGCACAATTATCGCTCTCTGTGTTTCTCTCCGGTTTAATTCCATGATGTTTACCGTTACGTTTTTTGTCTGCTCGATTTCTCAAAAAATTTCCTTCAATTCCGCTCTGAATTTTTTTTTCTACAATTCTTTCTGTTCATCCGCTCTTATAAATCGATTTTTTCAATCTTCAGCTCAAAATGTACGTTCAAATTTCGATTTTTTGTTCTAACGGTGCACTCCGTTACATATTCATGCAATATTATTTCGAGAAAAACACAAAAATGCGCTTTATTTTCGTTTGATTTAATTCAATCCGCTCAAATTTCTTTCAATTTCATTTATTTCAAATTCAAATATTTTATTTTTAATAGAATTCCGCTCAAAACCTTCCAAAATTCAGTTTATTTCCTTATTTTTTCTAAGTGTAATGATTAACACTATGATTGTTCTTGGGGCACCCAGGGCCCCCAGCGAACTTTAAAGTTGAATAAAAGTACTAAACAGTGTATAAACCAACCGGAGTTAAGTCTCATTGTATAGATTGAACATTTCTCTACACGAATGAAAAAAAAACATATGCATATGTGTGAGTATGTGTAAAATGCAGCCTGCCGCAAAACTTGTTACGCTGTTGTTCTTGGGGGACCACAGGGCCCCATGGCTATTTTATATTATAACTGGAATATGATAAGAGATAACGACTTAATGTCTGTGGTGAAGTTGTAGTTCGCAAGCTGTTGTACAACTTTGCCGAAGTATCCAAGTCGTTATCTATTATCAGTTTCGCGGAATACGCGAGAAACCGCAGAAAACCGCGAAAAAACGCGTTTTTTTCCTTATCATTTTTCACGGAACTGATA